CAGTGAATATCTGCAACATTAAAACTTTCCCACACACAACTGAGTTCTTTCCTACAAAAACTATAAACCACAAAAATGTTACCAAGAACCCCTTGGTTTCATTGCAGTCAGGAAGACTTCCCACTTTTGGACTACCTGAATTGTTTCCGCACCACACACACCCTCATTCTTGACTTTCCTAACTGCTGCTGTTATACTTTGTGCATTTATTTTTTTATTGAGGTATAAGTGACACACAATGCAACAACAGTATATACTTTGGACATTTAGAGGGGATACCAATTTTCTCAAGACAAATACTCAGGATACAGTTGGAAAACACCACTGTTCTCAAAGTATCTTGAGTTTTCTACACCTAATGTGAAACCAGTTTATGAAAAATGTTTATCTTTTCAGTCTAACAACCCATTTTGATAAAATACCACTAATTAGACTGGAGGTCTGACCCTACATTTTAAGAGTAATTTTCATTTTCATAAGGCATCAGTGACACCCACTCTGGGTGCCAGCAAACCCTAGAGTAGTGGAGACATTGAAGGTTTCAGGTAATCAATCAAGACCTGTAAGTAAATCATCTGTTCTTACATGCTTGGATACAGGGGTCTGATCCTAAATCTTAATAATTTGTCCTAGAATTCCATAAACTCCAAAAATATGAAATCTTTCCTTATTCATCTTCAACAAGACTTCCTTTTTTAAAGCAATTCACATCAGAATATTGTCTCCTTCACACTTCAATCTTCAAGGTCTTCTAATCGCCCTGATTGTAAATGAAGAGAAACAGTCAAGCTGGTATAAAATCATTATCAACCACTGCCCTGCTTCAGGATCAGTAATCCTCACCTACCTCAAGTAAACTGACTGGCACAGGCACATAATTTGCAGAACAGGTCAAAGATTAAAGGACTGCAGTATCAAAGACATAAAACAATCTCACCGGGGGCGCCTGCGTGGCTCAGTCAGTTAAGCATCTGCCTTCGGCCCAGGTCATGATCTCAGGGTCCTGGGATCGAGTCCCCCATCGGGCTCCCTGCCCAGCGGGTAGCCTGCTCCCCGCCCCCCGACCTGCCACTCCCCCTGCCTGTGTGCTTTCTCTGTGTGTCAAATAAATAAATATAATCTTAAAAAAAAAACCACACACAACAATCTCTACAAAAAACCTCTACCTTTGACAACAGATTACTAATGCGTGGCCTGGCACCACCTCCGTTTCACCAGCTGGGGAAAAGGAAAGCCTGGCCTCTGCTCCTGTGGCTCACATTCCCTCAAGCACAGCATCATGACACACACCACCCTGTTAGATTTCACTGATGTCAACTGTTACTGACAAACATGGGGGCACTTCAGGCATAAGGAGAGTAATCCTCTCCATGCTGTGGTTTAGGACTGGTGCAAGCTGCAGATCATGTCTCCAAGAGATCCTTCCCCTCCTACCTCATGGGAGAGGATGAGGCCTACTACTGACATGCGGCAAGGGGAGGGGAGGGAAAGGCGGGGGGGGCCTCAAAACACAGACTTCTTGCAAAATAGGGAATTAGTAACACAAGCTTTGATAATAATGTCTTTATCAACAAAATGCCCTATGATAATTGCTTCCAAGAAAAGCCTCTAATTGTTAAAATTATCTGACCTATTTAAAAAATAATAATTGCAGAATTCTCATTAGAAAAAAAGACGACTTTTGTTTTCTTTGATCAGAATTTTAAGAACTTTTTTTTTTGTCCTTTGTATGATCTTCAAGCCCAGGCACTGGTGCTATTTTAACATTAGAATATAAACATGTTTCATATTACACCAAAAAGCTAAATACATGGGTGACTTAAATTTATAGTTTCAGAGTATCTGAACACTCCCTACTTTCAGATGAACTCTTACACATCAGAGGATTAAAGTAGTAGATGCTTTCTGAGGGCCAAGGCAGAAGTCATATTTATTTTATTATTATTATTTTTAAGATTTTTATTTATTCATTTGAGAAAGAGACAGAGAGAGTGAGAGAAAGCGCACGCGCATGTGTGCCCGCGTGCATAAGCTGGGAGAGCGGCAGGAAGAGGGAGAGTGAGAAGCAGGCTTCCCGCAGCGGGAAGCCCTTATGATTCCAGCGTCCTGGGATCATGACCTGAGCCGAAGGCGGGTGCTTAACGACTGAGCCACCCAGGCGCCCCAAATGTCATATTTAAATCACTAAAGTAAGTAGAACAATTATGCAGAGCCTGACAAGGTCTTGCAGTTTGACGACGGTCATCTTCAGAGAAAAGATGCTTTTAGCAAATCAGGATGTGAAATCAGTTACAGGGCCTGCTACATAAGGAAAGTACTAAACATCTCTACTCCCCAGACCCGGTCACTCACAAAGTAAAACTCTGCCCTCTCACTTTTCTCCAACATGGTAGGAATATCACACCAAATCAATAGCTAGCTTATTTTCTCTCTAAATCTCCTAAGTTTTACTGTACAGTTATTTAAATAATTGAACGTTAGTTAAACTAAGGAGTCTCAAGTTTTATCATCAGCAAGGCAGAGCCTGGATAAAGCTTCCAAGGTAGGTCACCGAAGTGATGCCTCACTTAAGGAACAACTACTTAAAGTTTAGACTAGAAAAGAATTGCAAAGTTGTAGTGCAAATCAACATGCTGGTTTTCTTAAAGACCTCACTTTGAGTTGCCTTTTTAGTACTATTACGAGCCACTTCTCAACTAAGCTTGCACAGTCTTGAAAGAATTCTGAACATACAAAAAAGATTACAAAACTCATATGCCATTTTCAGATATACTTACATCTGAATTAAAATTTTTAGGGAAAAAGGTTTTGGGGGCATTACAAAAAAAAAATCACAAAAAATTTATTATCAACATCTTCTAACACAGATGTGTGTGCGCATGCGTGTGTATCTGTATCCTCAATGGATCATCTTCAACTGTTTCTCTGCCAAATTAACACTGATGAGAAAAAAACAAATTTGAAGTATACAGTATTGTGCAGTTAGCCCATTCCAGAGACATTAAAATGCAATGCTTTATTATATTAATTCCAATGAAAAATGATACATTAAAAAATCTGGTTTTCAAGTGCAACATAACACGTAGAGAAGAACTATTAAGAAACAATTGATCTCATTTTAGATGATCCAAGTTTATCAAGGTAAATTTCTTATTATGATTTAAAAACTAAGACTAAAATGAACAAATCTGTTATGTGAATAGAGTTGTAAGCAACACAGGTCTTAACAAAAATGGTTTTAAAGTTCTGATGATTCTAATCAACATAGATTCCAATTTGTTGTTTCCTCAGTGAAATAAAGCCCATCATATCTCCCCATCCATAACCCTGTACAGATATGCAAAAGTTAAAGACTTAAAATGAAAATATTTAATAAAAAGGTCCTTTCTTACTGCAAACTGTTTTAATCGGTTCCTGGCTGACTGTGGCCTCATAGAAATCAAAGGACTGTATTAACTAGCATGAAAATATATGAAAAATCTAGTTCTTATAATAAATGACATGTACTGAATGAGTGACAAGGTTTTTACCCATAAATGCCACTGGCATCTCAAGAGCATTTGAGGGGACTTTAGAGACACAGTCAGACACATTTCTTTTAAGAAAATATAAAAGCAAAAAAACCACCCCAGGATGGATGAAGATATTTTCAGAAATTTCATTTTAATGACTTAATTTAAAAGATCCGCAAATTCTAGTACCAAACCTGCCCCAACTGTTCTTGCTCTGGACTCCATCTCTCAAGCACTTACGCTACATTATTTTAGAACAGTATAAAGGCAAAAAGCAGTTAAAACTCAGACAAATCTTCATTATCCGGCGCCCAATCAAGGGATTTGAATCCTTCCAAAGTCTCAGAAAAAGACATTAGCATTAGCAGACAGGCTTGGGAATTGGGGTGCGGGAGGCTCGCTTCAAAGACCCCCTTTAAAATCCAAACTTCATCTGCATCCCACATCAATAGGAAACAATTGTCAGGCACCTCAGGAGTCTTAGGTCAGACAAAATTAAAGCTTCCTTTTAACCTCTGCTTAACCTTCCTTCAAACATAAGGTGGGCTGAACGTAGCAAGTTCTAGCTCCCGGCTGGCTTGGAAACCTGTCACTAATGTGTGACCTTGGTCAAGTGACTTAACCTCTCTGTGTCTTCGTTTTCTTCTGAAAAACAGGAAAAAATAAAAGCACTCACCTCCCAAAAGACTGTTGGGAGAATTTATGAAATGTGTGTAAACTGCTCTAAAAATGTCTGGCACACAGTAAGCGCTTTAGAAACGCTGAGTATTGCTATGAATGTAATTATGAGATGCACGCAAAGCGCTTAATACAGAACCTGGCACATTGGAAAGATAACGAACTGTCACCATCGCTGGTTTCACGTTCGGTGGCACGTTCAGAAAAGAGCGCGGAGACCTCTTCAAGATAAGGATAACTTAAGAAGAGCATCTGGGAAGGCAGGAGGGGATGGGTTCCGACACCCTCAGGAGATTTGAACGTTCGTCACCAAGTAACAAGAAATGGGCCGTCCGACCCCAGCCCCACACAAAAAATAAGCAAGACAGGAAAGGAGCCCTCGAAGCTGGTGGAACCCACAGCCCCATCAAATTGCTTTCCGAGAGGGCGGGTACCAGAAAGTAAGGGACACGCGGTCCTGCAGGGCGGACCGGGGCCCCCAGCCCTCTCTCCTCCAAAGGCTGGTCCCGCTTGCAGGGCGCAAGGGGGTACGGACCGGAAACGTGGGGGTGGGGAGCGGAGTTTTCAAATCTCCGGGAGGAAGGCTGCACCTCCGAGCAATGAATGAGCGGCGCCGGAAGGGTCCGCGGGCTGGGCCAAGTGCGGGACCCCGGCCCGCCTCCCTCCGGCTGCAGCCCCTGGCCCCACGAGCCAACTCGCGGGGCTCACTCCCCTCCGCGCTGCAAGCCCAACCGGCCTCCCAACTTCCCCCTCCCCCGCGAGCCCCAGAGGCCGCCCGCCTCCCCTCAGTCCGTCCTCCGACCCCTTCACCTTCCAGCAGCCGTTGGATGATGCTGTCGATGTTGAGTTTATCTATATCCGCCATCGCCTTCCCACCGCCGACCCTCCCGCAGCGGCGCCGCCGCCGCCGGCTCGCGCCCGGGACTCACACCTCCTTTCCCACGCCACGAGCACAGGGGCGGTGGTGGCGGCGGTGGCGGCGGTGGCAGCAGCCGCGGCGGGTCCCCCCCCAACCGCCCCGCTCCCTGCTTCCTCCTTCTCTCCCCACTGGAACCACGAGAAGAACAAAATGGCCGCCGACTCCTTAGCCAGTCTCGGTCGGCGCACGGATGCGCGCGGGGGAGTGCAGCGGCCAGCCGGGACTTCTTTATGGGCCATAGGGCTCGCGGGAGGGGGCGGGGCCAGAGCGCGGGAATGAGGCGGAGACGGTTGAGCGTAACTGCGATCGCGCGCGGGATCCCTCCGCCAAACGGGCCGAGCAAATAGGCCCCCTGGCGGGAGCGGGAGCTGCAAAGTTGCACGCGGGAGTCGGAGAGGAGAGGGAAGCTGTCGCTGCGCGCTGCTAGGATTGTAGCCTCCGCCAGATACTGTTCATTAGGCTGGAGGTTTGCAGACTTGGCCGTGTGAAAGCCCACCGGGAGAATTCTGGGGCCCTGTAATTTACGCCCTAAGATAAATCTGGCGTAGAGGTAGAGGCAGAGTATTAAAGAGAAGTAGGTTGACTTATTTTGGATTCAAATTTGCTGGGATTTGGGGGAAGGGAAAGGTTTATTTGGTCACTAATTTAAAAAGTCGTCTCCCAGATAAATCAAGAGGCTAACAGTTACTTATCCTGAGTGGAGGGATTATGGGTATTTGTACATTTGTGTGTGTCTGTGTGTGGCCTCTGTAACTTTTACATTTGGGGGAAATTTATTTTAATCCACTCAGAATTTCTTCATCATTCCTATCTTTGGATTATCTTTCTTGAACTCAGTAAGTTATATAATCACTGGTACGGTTATCCTGATTCCAGCCAGAGCGAAGGTGAACAGAACAAGCGTGTGCAAGCAGATAAAGAGAAAATTTGCAGATTTCGCGCGTCGGAGCTCGAGGCCGGAAGAGAGGAGCGAGTTTGCAGGGGCCGGTAGTGCGGGCAATCCTGGTTTCTGCAGACATCCTTGGAGACTTTGGCCCGTTCCCCTCGGCTTCCCTGTCTCCCCAAGTGCACCCCTCCCCAAGAAGCCCCCAAAATATGCCACTCCGGGGGGGGGGGGGCGCTGTGCGTTGCCTTTAGCTGGGTTTGGAAGTGCAGCTCACATTCAGCAAAACATCTGCTCTCCTTCCTTTCCTGACCTTTACTTTTGTCTGTTTTCTCCTGCAGCGTTTTAGTTTGCAAAGCCCTTTCCCAACCCCAGCGAAATTAATTTTGTTTCTCAAGGCACGCAGGATGCATGTCCCGCCCCCAAATGCCATTGAGGTGATTGCCCCACCCAGGCGTCAGTCCTCCGCAGGGGTGCCCTCCCTGGGCATCAGTCCTCCGCAGCGGTGCCCTCCCTGGGCAACCTCCTTGCATGTGGACTGTGCTTCCCTTGCTGCTGGCAGGGGGGTTGGGGTGGAGTGTTGAGGTTCAGGGCTCCCCCCCGCTTGGCTCAGCTTCTAACGCCACTTTCCCCTTTTAAATTCATTCTCCCATGCTGTAGCTCTGTCCGCCAGAAGATACACAAGTGTCGTTTGTCAGCCTAGGGCACAGGGCCCAGTTGGTGACATTCGGAGCCGATGCCCAGCTCTTGAGAACAGCAGGCTGTTGAAGTCAGGGTGGCTCTCGCTGGTTTCCACAAGACTTTGGGCTCCTCCAGGGCAGGGTGCATCATCGCAACAGCAATTAGAACAGGAATATGAAAGACAGTGATTCATTCAGCAGACAAATATTTGTGGAGCACCTACTCTGTGCCAGGCATTGTTCTGGGGTGGAAAGCAGGGGTGAGTAAGACAGACAAGGCCCTTCTCATGGAGAGTCATCTAGTAAGCCAGATAATAAACAAAGACGCAAATAGAAATATCAGCTTCTGATAAGTGCAGGGGAGAAAAAAGAAACAAAACACTACACTCGTTTTCTTAGTATGTGCCAAAAATTATCTCATCAAATCCCTGAGACAGTCTTAGGAATTATGTACTATTCCTATCATCCCCATTTTACAGATGAAGAAAGTGAGACACAGAGAGGCTAGGTTGTCTTCTGAAGGTCACACAGCTAGTAAGTTGCAGAGCCGGGCCTGGTACTTAGGACAGCTAGAAACCAAAGCCCTTGTTCATATTTAACAAACCACCACTGTAGCACGACCTACACCTACACGACCTACACCTAGCACAACCCTGACACATAAATGTGGAACCCGATGGAATGATCTAAACATGTCTCTACCACAAAAAGAGTGCCATGATTTTCCACACACAAAATAGCAGGTCTTTTAATATCTGTTGATATCATCAGGGCTGGAGGAGGACTTCAGACTGGACTGGGGCATAGGGAGGGCCTCTATCCACATGCCATTCTTCATTGGACAACTCCCCTTGAGTCCAGTTTTGCTGGCATATGTCTACATGAATTAGCTGGCTTAGAGCCTGAAAATGGCATGGACTCACAGAGTAGGCCTGAATGGCTCCCAGAAACCAGCAAACAATTCTTGGAAGAAAGAACTGGTCCCCTAGTGGCCTTTTTCTGCCGTTATCAATACTAATGGCCTCCTTAAGGACTAGCAGACAAGTATTTGCCTGAAAGACTACCATCTAATAGGCGGTGTGTCCCTTCCACTCTCTATGCCTCACTTTGCCTATCTAGATAATGAGGACTGTGGATTAAAATGTGCTTTTTGAATGCTCTTCCTTGGATCCACAGAGCTTTCTTAGGGGGCTGCTGGAGATGGCGGAGATCTGATGAGGTTCTGGTCCCCCATCCCTTGCATCAATCAGAGCAACACCATGGTACACAGTAAGCATTTAGTAATAACTATTAGTACAGTGATCTGTTTTATACATTGAGCTTCCAGGTAAGAGAGGCTGTGGCCAACATATTTGGAAATTCAGTAGTATTTCTAGGGATACTTTAGCTTTGAGGAGGATTCAGGAACCATAAAAGAATTAAACCAAGTGGATAGAGACTGTGGTGAGCTGAGAGCCCACACCCCTTCACCTAAGGAGCCAGCCACTTCCAGTTCGAGTCCACTGAGGCCATGTGAGAAACAGGCACAGGGTGGCCAGATCCTCTGAGTTTTCAGGAGAACTTGGACATATGGGTTTTTATGTGAAAAGTTCCAATTGTTTTTAAAGATGTTATTTATTTATTTCAGACAGGGGCAGGGAGGGCAGAAGGAGAGGGAGAAGCAGACTCCCCGCCGAGCAGGGAGCCCGACGTGGGACTCGATCCCAGGACTCCAGGATCATGACCTAAGCCAAAGGCAGACACCCAACCAACTGAGCCACCCAGGCACCCTAAAAAGTTCCAATTTTTATACTGGCTTGTCATGAACCCTAATTCTTCTAAAACACTATATGAGACTGACAAAACATATCTGGGCTACATTTGGCCCTTAACTAATAATTTGGAACTCTATTCTAGAAAGTTGGGGTGAACTCTTTTCCTTCCCTTATCTCAATTTAATGAGCATTAGGATTATTGTTAAATGATACAAATAAACGATAATGAGTTTTGCCAGCAAATCTGGACCGGCCTGGGTATTCTGGTGGTTTTGTACAAAGTAGAGAACCATTGGAAAAAATATGGGTGAAAGCCTTTGACAAGGTCCACAGCTTTGTTTCAATGTCCTGTGGTATTACCAGCAGACACTGGTATTCTTTTTGGCAAATGTTCACTGAGGCCTTACTCTGTGTCGGGCCCCATGTAAGAAGCCGGGGACACCGCAGTAAGCAAACCATCATCACCTCTGCCCTCATGGAATTCCCAGTCTATTGGAGGAGATAGACAGGAACAGAGAAACCAGTCAAAGGGTGATTTCAGAGAGTGGTAAATTTTGTGAGAGAATTAGAAGGGATCACATGATTACATGGGAGAGGGACTCTGAGGATTTGACATTAGAATCAAGATCTGAAGAATAAGAAAGAGAGTCATGGGAAGAACTACATAGGGGAAAATCTTTCTCAACAGAGTTAACTGCAGGTGCAAAGGCCCTGAGGCAGGGACAATCTTCCAGTGTTGGCAGATTCAAAGAAGGCCAAAGGATAGTGTGAGGGGCAAGTGTTGGGAGGGGAGGTTGAAGATATGGGCAAAGGCCAGCCACTCAGGGCCTAGGAAGCCATGAGAAGACATCAGATTTTATCCTAAGATGAGTGGGAAATCACTGTAGGGTGAGTCAGAGGAGTAACAGGATCTGATTCGTTTTTTTAAATAAGCTTTCTATTTTTAAATAATTTGGGATTTACTGAGATTTGCAAAGATGGTACAAAGAGTTCCTGTATACCTTTCGCTCAGTTTCCCTTTAATGTTAACATCTAACCCAACCATGGCATTGCTCTTCATTTTTTAAGACACCTAAATCATAAAGAAAAGTTGGATCAGAATATATTACATAACAGGGGTGCCTGGCCTGGCTCATTTGGTAGAGCATGCAACTCTTGATCTTGGGGTTGTAAGTTCAAGCTCCACATTGGGTGTAGAGATTATTTAAAAATAAAAATTAAAAAAAATTAGGTACATTATTACCTAGAGAGCATTTTCTCCTAAATAAGATCTGATTTTGGGATGCCTGGGTGGCTCAGTTGGTTAAGTGTCTGCCTTTGGCTCAGGTCATGATCCCAGGGTCCTGGGATTGAGTCCTCCATTGGGCTTGCTGCTCAGCGGGGAGTCTGCTTCTCCCTCTGCCTGCCTCTGACAAATAAATAAAATATTTTTAAAAAGAGATATGATTTCATTTGAAAAAGATCCCTTTGGGGGCGCCTGGGTGGCTCAGTTGGTTGAGCATCGGACTCTTGATTTCGGTTCGGGTCATGGTCTTGGGGTTGTGAGATCGAGCCCTTCATCAGGCTTTTTGCTCAGCGGGGAGTCTGCTTGGGATTCTCTCTCTCCCTCTCCCTCTGCCCTCCCCACCCCATGCTCGCTCTCTCTCTCTAAAATAAATAAATCAATCTTTAAAAAAAGAAAAAGAAAATGATCCCTTTGGTGTCTGTGGGGGTAATGGACTGGTGGGTAAGAGTGGCAGTTGGAGATCAGGGAGGGGGCTGATGAAAAATGTGGCATCACTGCTCTGAGCTTCCGTTTCCTCATCTGCAAAATGGGGATGATATCACACATCTGAGAAGGTTGTTGTGAGAACATCCTTCCAGTGTACTTGGGGAGATAATAGTAAGAAGGTGGCAATGAAGATGATGATAATAGCTAGCATTTATTGAGTGCTTACTGTGTTCCAGTCTCTGTCCTCATGACCTTCCAGGCATGATTAGGGAGTGCAGATTCTTTGGAATGTTCCCACCAGTCTCTGACAAGGAGGATTTACATGTGTCTTTCAAATTCCTTGAACCATCGTTGGCCCTCGTGGAGTTTATGTTGATGTTGGGTGTGTCTCTCTTTGAGACAACCTCAAATGTACTTTCATCTAGACTTACTCAACAGAGAAATTATGATGATTATCACCTTGCTAAAAGTTCCTTAGTTTCACAAAATGACTCACTGCGCAAGCTCTCCCAGTATCCGGAGAGTGGATTGCACTGTCATTTGGAACTAAGTCAGGCAATGGGAGGCTCACTCTAGAGCAGGGGTCTCACAACCTGGGTACTGTTGACATTTTGGGCCAGATCACTGTCTGTTGTGGGGGGGCTGCCCTGTGTATTATAGGATGTTTAGCAGCATCCCTGACCTTTACCTGTTAGATGCCAGAAACACGCCCCCTCCCCAACAGTGACATTTGGGAATGTCTCCAGGTACCACTATATGTCCCCTGCAAAGTCAAAATCACTCCCTCTCCCATCCCCCCTGTTGGGGACCATTGCTTTCAAGCATTTGGGGCCTGTGACAAATGGTGTTCAAATTGTTTTGTTCTTCTGTCACTTTTAACCCTATGTGTTAAGTGTTTTGCCCGAGTAGCTTCTTTGACTACTAACAGCCATCATTTATTGAGAATTTACTCTGTGTTAGGCATTGACCTAACTCTCGCTTTATATATATATCTTCTGGTTTCATTCCCACTTAATACACAGGATAAGTCATTATTCCCATTTTATACATGGAGAAATCAAGGGTCAGAGAGACACACAGCTAAGAAGTGACAGAGCCTAGATTTGAACCCAAATTTGTCTGACTCCAGGGGCCACAATCTCTAACCATTCTGCCATGCTGAGCCTCTGAAGACAAGCTGTTAGAAAATCACCAGGGGAAAAATATTTTATAAACAATATTTTATTAAAAATTTTATAAAATATTTATAAAAATATTTTATAAAAATGCCATTCTAGTATCAAGTTGGAGAAGCAGAATGGAGTGAATTTGCTCTGGACTCACAGATTGGAAAAGCCAAGTTCTAGTGCAAAGTCCACAGGTGATTCACTGTGTGGCTTTGGGCAAGTCACTAGCTTGACTTCGTAGGTGAAACATAAGCCCAGCCCTGCCTTCCCTCATGTGGGAGAGATGGCCCTTTGAGCAATAATGGTGCCTCCCAGCCAGAGAGTGCTGGGACCTTGTACTATGTGTTCATGTTTACTTTCATCCTCGTAACACTAGGAAGCACAGCCCTCCCTCCTTTTAAAATTGAGATGAAGATCACATAAAATGAACTATTTTATTTTATTTTATTTTTATTTTTATTTTTTTAAAGATTTTATTTATTTGAGAGAGAGAATGAGAGACAGCACAAGAGGGAAGAGGGTCAGAGGGAGAAGCAGACCCCCTGCTGAGCAGGGAGCCCGATGTGGGACTCAATCCCGGGACTCCAGGATCATGACCTGAGCCGAAGGCAGTCGCTTAACCAACTGAGCCACCCAGGCGCCCTAAAATGAACCATTTTAAAGTGTACAATTCAGGGGCACCTGGGTGGCTCAGTCGGTTAAACATCTGACTCTTGGCTTCGGCCCAGGTCATGATCTCAGGGTCGTGAGATCGAGCCCCTCCTCAGGCTCCACACTCAGCGTGGAATCTGCTGGAGATTCTCTTTCTCCCTCTCTCTCTGCCTCTGTCTCTCCCCGCCCATGCTCTTGAAGGCGTTCCCCCCCAAAATAAATAAATAAAATCTTAAAAAAAGATAAAGTGTACAATTCAGTGGCTTTTTGTACAAACATCACCTCTATTTAGTTCCAAAATATTTGCCTCACCCCCAAAAGAAACCCCATACCTATTAGCAGTCACTCCCTATTCCTCCTTCCTCCCAACTCCTGGCCCCCACCAGTCTGTTTCCTGTCTCCCTGTATTTGCCTATCATGGACATTTCATCTAATTGGAATCCAACATTACGTGACCTTTTGTATCTGGCTTCTTTCACTGAGCATGAAGTTTTTGGGGCTCATCGACATTAGCAGGTGACAGTACTTCATTCCTTTTTATGATCGAATAATATTCCATTGTATGGATATGCCACTTTTGTCTGTCCACTCATCCGTGGATGGACATTTAGGTTGTCACAGCCCTTTTTTTTCAGATGAGGGACATGAGGCCCAGGAAAGTTAAATGTCTTCCCCAAGATCACAGAGTAAACAGACGAGCTGGCAGGTTTGGATTTTAAATCATGAAGACTAAACTGTCTTTTACCTGTTTTACCTGTAATGGACATTTCCTAACTCTGGTTGATGATGAAATTTTTAAAATTTTTTTTGAAAGAGAGAGAGCATGAGCAGGGGGTTGGGGGTAGGGGCAGAGGGAGAGGGAGAGAGAGCATCCCAAGCAGCAGGCTCCATGTCCAGTGTGGAGCCCGCCGTGGGATTGATCCCAGGACCCTGAAGTCATAACCTGAGCCGAAATCGAGTCAGACTCTTAACCTACTGAGCCACACAGGTGCCCTGATGATGAAATATTTTTAATGAACTATTTAAAACTTAGAGCAAGTACAATTTGGTGATTTATTTTTTCTATTTTTTAAAAATTTTCTTGGTGAACAGTTTAAAGCTTAGAGCAAAGCTTGGATGATCTTGTTCATGCTCCAGAATTTAACAAATGTTAACATTTGGTCATATTTGACTTAGACTTGTTTTTAGGTAACAAAAGAAATGAAACATTATAGCTGAGACTCCTTTGGAACCCTTGCTCCATTCTACTCAATTCTTTTCCCCCTCCCCAGAAGTAGCTAGCCCAAGATTGTTGTGTATATGTGTGACTATGTTTTTTCCCAATTTACAACACGCAAACAAGTTAACGATCAACAAGGAAGAAAAACAACAATCTTAACTCCCAGGGGCAAGTGGAGTGCATTTTTCAAAAAGCCAGATTTATTCAATTTAGAAGATTGCCTTTGATTCTGAGGGTTGGGCTTTCCAGCTTTACTTATATTAAAATGTCCTTCCCAGTATGAAATGGTGGCGATAGTGACAGATAGCTATTTTTTCAATGTCCCATTTGGCAAAAGAAAAAAATCCAATAGTGGGAGGGTAGAGAAATAACTCAGGCATGGTTTTGCAGTGGTGGAAATGAATGAAAGCAAGCAACACGGAGCAATATGGATATATCTGGAAGCTAACGTCAAGGGAGCAAAAAAGCTAGTCGGGGAAGGATTAGTTCTGTAGAAGACTATTTACATAAAAGTTTAACATGACAAAACAGCATTGCATATTTAAGACAGTGTTTTTCAAACTTTTTGGGGGCCACATGGTGCCGTAAGAAAGATATCTTATGAACCAATCCGGTACACATACACACAGATGTAAAACCCAGGCGAAAGTTTCGGAAGACAATACTGACCTTACTACACGTGATATACTCTTATTATTATTTTTTAGTCCTATCTTACCCTAGTCTATCCTAATTTTTTTAAAATTTTATTTATTTATTTGACAGAGAGAGAGAGCACACAGCAGGGGGGGCGGCAGGCAGAGGGAGAAGCAGGCCTCCCACTGAGCGGGGAGCCTGAGGCTCAACCCCAGGATCCTGGGAACATGACCTGAGCCGAAGGCAGATGTTTAACAGACAGCCACCCAGGCGCCCCTCTATCCTAATTTTTAAAATGCTGGTTGTGTGGGGCGCCTGGGTGGTTCAGTTGGTTGAGCTTCCTACTCTTGATTTCATCTCAGATCATGATCTCAGTATTGTGAGATCGAGCCCCACATCCAGCCCCGTGTGGGGCTTCATGCTCAGCAGGGCATCTGCTTGGGATTCTCTCTCTCTGCCCGTCTCCCCATTCTCTCTCTCTCAAATAAATGAATGAATCTTTAACAAATGAAATAAAATGCTGGTGTGACCCTCTAAACTGATTTTACAATCTACTAAAGGGTTGCAACCTGTGGTTTGAAAAATACTGGTTTAAGGGCGCCTGGGTGGCTCAGTTGGTTAAGCGACTGCCTTCGGCTCAGGTCATGATCCTGGAGTCCCTGGATCGAGTCCCGCATCGGGCTCCCTGCTCGGCAGGGAGCCTGCTTCTGCCTCTGACCCTCCCCCCTCTCATGTGCTCTCTCTCTCTCTCTCTCATTCTCTCTGTCTCAAATAAATAAATAAAATCTTTAAAAAAAAAAAAAAAAAAAAAAAAAAAGAAAAATACTGGTTTAGGAATATACATGATGCAGTAAAGGCATAAAGACACATGAGAAAAATACATATCATATTCAGGAAAGTGCTTCCACGTAGTAAAAATATAAAGACCACATCATATTTAGGAGGAAAGGAGAAAGGAAGGAACTGGGGACGGGTATACACTGAATGCAATTTTCTTTCTTATGTTTTATTTTCTAAATGGGAAGGTGGTTATGTGGGAGCCTGTTATATTTGTGTTTAAAATCAACTTTATTGGGGCTTCTGGGTGGCTCAGTCAGTTAATCGTTGTCTGCCTTCAGCTTAGGTCATGATCCCCAGGGTCCTGGGATCGAGCCCCTCGTCAGGCTCTCTACTCAGTGGGGAGCCTGCTTCTCTCTCTCCCTGCCACTTCCCCTGCTTGTGCTCACTCTCTCTCTCTGTCAAATAAATAAATAAAATCTTTTAAAAAATCAACTTTACTTAGGTACAACTTAGGTATGATAAAATGCACCCATTTTAAATGTACAGTTCAGTGAATTTTGACCAGTGAATACAACCATGGAAACACCACCCAGTAAGATATAGAATATTTCCGTCGCCCATGAAATTTTCTCCATGCCCTTTGTAGTCAGTCTGCCTCCACCCAGTTCCTGGCAACAGCTGATTTGCTTTCTACCATGACAGATTAGATTGATCTTTTCTAGCGTTTCAGATAAATGGGATCACAGAGTGAGCATTTTCTGTGGCTGGTGTCCTTCACTCAGCACAATGGTCTTAAGATCCATACATGCCATGTGTGTCAATAGAACATATCTTTTTATTTCTGAGAAGTATCCATAGTATGGATAGATAAGAATATGTTTATCCATTTGCCTGTTGGAAGGCACTTGGGTTGTTTCCAGTTTGGGGGCTTAATATAATTTTTTAAACACCTGAGATGGTTATTAAAATGTATATATATATATATATATACACAGGGGCACCTGGGTGGCTCAGTTGGTTGAGCATCTGATTCTTGATCTCAGCTCAGGTCTCAATCTCACAGTCGTGAGTTCAAGCCCTGGGTAGGGCTCCACGCTGGGTGTGGTGCCTACTAAACAAACAAACAAACAAACAAATTTGAGATAGCTTTAAAAAAAGAAAAAGAAAAAGGAAACACAAAGAACAAAAATAATAATAAACTCTGTGACATCCCCTCTCCCCATATTATTCTGGCAATTTTTTTCTGGTGTCAAACCCCAAGCCCATGCTTCCTTGCCAGCATGCTGGAAAACCACTGAGTGCTGCCCACTGTGCAAGCTGACGATGGGGCAACGGGGCAGAGAAACCAGTGCTCCCTGGAGACCGTCTTGGTTTTGGCACCGACCTGGCCTCTTCTCCTGGGAAGTATTGACTGCAGTAAAGGGGCTGCTGGCTTAGCGTAGAAAGCCTTCTGTGGATCTCGAATTTGTGTGGCCTGGAATGCCTGGCCCTAGAGCAACCTTGCTGAGAAGCTGAGCCACACATGGATGGTTTCCGGAATAAGTGCTTTCCACTAGCCTTTCCGTCTGCCCACACACTGGCCCCCACCCAGCCTGGCCAGGAAGCTCTGTCCAGATTCCGGGGCCCTCCAGAGCCAAGCCAGAGCAGGGCCTGCTTCAGAGCAAACTGTCTTTTCTGCCTATGAGTGTTCCAAGCTTATCTCCTCTTCACAGCCTGGTAGTTAGGGGGGAAAACGGTGGCCTTGGAGCCATTTGAGAAACAAAGGCTAACGCTGGGGAGGCCAGAGGGGCTGTGAGGGGGTTCAGAGCAGCCAGTTCCCCAATATTGGCCACCCTGTCTCTGACTTCCCCTCCAAAGGCCGTTCTCTGCCACTTCCAAGTCAGCTTGGCTGGCGCTTGCCTATTACCTGGACCCAAACCCCTGTCTGTCCCCTTAGTAGCTGGGTGGTCTTGGGCAAGTGACATCTGAGTCTCGGTTGTGTCATCTGTGAGGTGAGAATAGTGCAAGACTGAACGAAACCATGTACGTGGGCTGCTTCACATGGTACTTAAAACACAATATCATGGCCTGCATTTCCCAAAATTGGCCGTGACAATATTTCCAGTCCCACTTGCTCTTCTAGAACCTTACCACTCCCCTACCAAGAGATGGGATCCAGGTTCCCGACCCTTGAGACTGGGGAGGACCATGTCTACACCAGAAGTCACTCCACGGCTTCCGAGGCTGTGTCTCAGAAGGTACGATAGGCCATCCCACTCTCTCCTGGCCTGAAAGAAGTCAGACAGAGAAAGACAAAGATGGTATGTTTTCGTTTATGTGCTGAATCCAAAAATGCCGAACTCAGAGAGAGTAAAATGGTGATTACCGGGGGCTGGGGAAGTGGGGGAAATGGGGAGATGTTGGTCAAAGGATACAAACTCCCAGCTCTAAGATAAATCAGATCTGGGCATTGAATGCACAGCATGGTGAGCACAGTTAATGATGCTGTATTGTATCCTTGAAAGTTGTTAAGAGAGTATAGGTCTTAAATGTTATCACTACAGGGCGCCTGGGTGGCTCAGTTGGTTAGGCGACTGCCTTCGGCTCAGGTCATGATCCTGGAGTCCCGGGATCGAGTCCCACATCGGGCTCCCTGCTCAGCAGGGAGTCTGCTTCTCCCTCTGCCCCTCCCCCTCTCATGCTCTCTCTCTCTCTCTCTCTCATTCTCTCTCTCAAATAAATAAATAAAATCTTAAAAAAAAATGTTATCACTACACACACACACACGCGCAGAATTATGTGATGGAGGTGGTAATTAACCTAATTGTGGTCAGCGTTTTGCAATATATACATGTATCTAATCATCACTTCTACTCCTTAAACTTATGCATGTTATATGTCAGTAATATCTCAGTCAAGCTGGGGGAGAGAAGGGTAGCCAAGCTTCCCCTGACTCTCTCTTTCTCTTGGGACACTTGCTCTGGGAAAACTGCCACTCTGCCGTGAGGAAGCCAGGCTACGTACAGAAGGCCCGTGTGGATGTTCTGGCTGCAGGTGAGGTCCCAGTTAACAGCCAGCACCGACCATCACACACACGGGGGAGTGAAGAGTTTTCAGATGAGTCCAGCATCCACAGAGTCCTCTGAGCACCCCCAGTGGATGCCAAGTAGCGCAGAGATGAGGTGTCCCCACGGAACCCTGCCCAAATTGCAGATTTGCGAGCTGAATAAATGAGCGTGATTGTTTTGAGCCACTATGTTTCAGGGTGTTCTGTTATGCAGCAATAGAGAACGAGAACACGCAAACAGCCACAATAAACCTCATTATTGATGTCTCTCTTTTGCTCACACTTCACACTCCCCAGCCATCAGCAAATGCAAACACATCCCAGATTCAGTCCCAAGTCCAAGCCACTCCCATCTCGTGCCTGCAGGACCAAAGTTAACTATTTCTTTCTTGGGAGTGGGGCGGGGGGAACCTCAGTAAGAGCGTTATTGGTTGAACGACAGAAACAGAAGTCAAATGACTACTTATTAATGTTCACCAATGACCCGTTGTAAAGGAGATGAGGATAAACTGCCAATCTCAGCAAAACACAGAAACTAACTTTTCATCGTTGTATATATTAAGTCCTGTTGCTTCCATATGTTTTACCGAACTTTACTATTATGTAGCTAGAGTACTTATAAGGTCCTGTCATCATTTTGTGGATGTGAACTGTTCACACCGTTGAATACTACCCAGCTATCCATCGACATCTTCAATGTGACACACTGATCTTTCCACTGCACTATGCTCTGGGAATATGTTTCAGAATTAACTATTTCTACTCTTGCCTTCCTGCCATCTCTTCTCCACTTGGCAGGCAGGAACCAGATCTTAGAAAGAGAAATAGGATCATGGCCCTCTCTGCTTCCAAAGATTCCCATGGACCCCTCTCAAACTTAGAGTGAAATCTAAACTCCAAATTGTGGCCTACAAACAGTGGTGTGTTGGTAAGTCCCTCTCTAAGAAAAACAAAAATAAAAACAAAAAAAGCCCTGATTTACAGTGCTGGCCAATTTTCGTGGTGTAAATACTCTCACCATGGTCAATGTCAAGCTACCAATGCAATGTCTTGGGAGTTGGTATGAACTGCTTTGGCAGACTCTGCATCCCATCTCCGGCCTAGGTCCCCACCACATTCTCCCTTGCTTGTCACTGGTAGACACTCTGGCCTCCTCGCTGTGCTGTAAACATCTCAAGCATATTCCCATCCTAGAGCCGTGCTTAGACAGAAATGCTTTTTCCTCCAGATAATTGTTCCCTTGCTCCATTCAAGTCTCTACTCAGCTGTCACCCTCAGCTGTCAGAGAGGACTTCACTGATCACTCTGCCTAAAATAGCCCCCTTCCCCAACCCTTCCATCATGCTCTCTCCCCTTACCTTGCTCTATTTTTCTCCATGTCACTCTTCATCATCTGCCATTGTATTATGTCTCTGCCCATTTTCTGTCACTGTGTGGGCAGGGGTTTTGTCTGCTTGGTTCACTGTTGTTTTCCCAGCGCCTGGCACATACAAGGGGCTCACTAAAAATTTGTTGAATAAACAAATGAACTGAAGCTATTAATAGTATAAGTGCAAAATGGGGACAATAATAGTTGGGGGCAGGAGTCAATAAAATGATCTAGGTAAATGCCTCACACGGCACTCGGCTCCGAGGAGGTGTGCATTGTAAGGTTGCTATTTACCTCTGGTCACAGGTCTGGCTGAGGCCCACAGGACAGCATGTGGGGACAGTGGGGAGCAGTGGCCATCTGTGGTGCATCCCATGGGGCAAAGCAGGCCTCTCTGCCTTCCCCTGGAGTGTCCATCACTGCAGGGTAAGAAAGCAGCCCCTGGGGCCTGGGATACCCTCTCTGGCCTCGCTGCTTCACAGGTTAAGGAAGGTTGAACACCAGAGCGATATCTGGGGCTTATTGTGCTTATTTTGATGGTAGGGAACAAAGGGCTCTTTACTGATCTTATATTCCAAAGTCCCAAATCAGTGTTGCCAGCGTTGGTGGTATAGTGGTGAGCATAGCTGCCTTCCAAATCAGTGTTGCAATATCAACAACAGAAATACAAATTAAAAGAATAATCACCCCCCTCCCGCCAAACCACCACCCATATTCTTCCTCTAGTTTTATTTTGTAGTTACGCTTAAAAATAAAATCTTTTACTGATCTTTTAGTGATAGCTACTGAAATGTTTATAGGCGAAATGACATGATGTCTGGGATTTGCTTCCAAGTAACCCTTTTGCAAGCTGGGTTTTCCCAAAGCAAGTGTGGAGGTGGAGTTTGGGGTGCAAGATGTACATACTGCTTTGAAAATACGCAATGATTATTTATTGTTCGGTGTAAAAAGGCAAGTTGTAGAGCAATATATAGAATCCTATTTTTAAAAAAGATTTTATTTATTTATTTGACAGAGAGAGACACAGTGAGAGAGGGAACACAAGCAGGGGGAGTGGGAGAGGGAGAAGCAGACTTCCCACCGAGCAGGAAGCCCGATGCGGGACTCGGTCCCAGGACCCTGGGACCATGACCTGAGCCGAAGGCAGACGATTAACGACTGAGCCACCCAGGCGCCCCAACATAATCCTATTTTTTAAAATGAAATTATGAAGATATTGTATATCCTTGTTTGGGTAGAGAAAATTTCTGGAAAATATCAAGAAACTGTCAACAGGGAGGAGTGGGATCGAGTGTGGGTAGGTGTCTATATTCCTCTTGCCACCCTTTTGCACTATTTTGAGTTTTTAAAGTATTAGACCCACATTACTTACATAATAAAAATTTCAAGTTAAAATGTTCGCTACAATTGTTAGTGTACCTTTTAAGAATATTTAGCAATTTACTGTCCATTTTTAAAGAATGCAAATCATACGTGCGCTACAGACTGAATTGTGTCTCCTTAAAATCTGCATATTGAAGTCCTAACTCCAAGTACCTCAATGTAGCTGTATTTGGGAATAGGGTCTTTAAAGAGGTGCTGTAGGTAAAAAGGACGTCATTAGGGCAAGCCCTAATCTGACATGACTGGGGTCCTAATAAAAAGAGATTTGGACACAGATGGGTAGAGAGGGAAGACTAGGAGAAGACATAGGAAGAAGGGGCCATCTACAAGCCAAGGGGAGAAATCTCAGAAGATACCAACCCCACTGACACCTTGATCTTGATCTTCTGGCCTCAGAACTGTGAGAAAATGAATGTCTGTTGTTTAAGCCACCCAGTCTGTGGTACTTTGTTATGGCAGCCTAAGCAAAGTAATTCAGCATGTTAAATATTTGGAAAATATAGAGAAGTGGAAGAAATAAAGTCATACACAATTCTACCAGCCAGCAAACACACCCACGGGAAACAAGGGGCTCTGACCACTCTTCTTACCTCCTCACTCAGGATGGGGGAGGCATTTCTGGCCTGTTGCCTTCAGAAAGTTGGGAGGGATTTTGCATTTAATGAGCCTATTTTGGGTGCCTGGGTGGCTCAGTCGGTGAAGTTGCTGCCTTCGGCTCAGGTCGTGATCCCAGGGTCCTGGGATCGAACCCCACATGGGGCTCCCTGCTCAGCGGGGAGTCGGCTTCTCTCTCTGCCTCTGCCCTCCCCTTCCCCACCCTCCGCTTGTGCATGCGTGCACTCTCTCTCTCAAATAAATAAGTAAAATCTTAAAAAATAAAATAAAGACCCTCTTTCAACACAAACTGGATGGCATTTGATGTTGGCATTTGATGTTTTCAGATTACAGTGGGTTTTTGGTTAAAAGGAGATGCTTCTAGAAGGTGACAAAAATCCACACCACAGAATTTGAATGTGACCTGATTTAGAGGAGGGGTTGGCAAACTTTCTCTTTAAAGGGCTAGATAGTAAATATTTTTGACTTTCTGAGCCAGTCTCTGTTGTAACCACTCAACCTTGCCACTGTTAACAAAAGTAGTCACAGACATGTGCCAGATCCATGGGCCTATGCTGACAACCCCTCGTTTGGAGCAGTGAGTTACTTCTAAAATTAAATTTAATATTTTAATTAGAAAGGACGATCTTAAGGAGAAAGTCTCAGTTGGTGCTGGTAAGTCGTTAACAGTGTCCTAATCCTGATAATCTCTTCTTAATAAAGACAAATTAGAACTCAGGCCCACTCTTTAGGTGAGAAAATATCCAGTTAGAATTTAAGGACATTGTTTTGTCTTCAAAGTATATATAAATAGTTATTTTCTATTTATGGCAAGTGACACTGGATTTCCACTTCTGAAAATTTTCTTTTTAAAA